ATAATCATCATGGAGCTGACCGTGCCATGGGAGGACCGCTTGGGAGAAGCCCACGAAAGAAAGATGACCAAATATGAACAGCTGGTCACAGACTGCCGAGCACAGGGCTGGAAGGCGAGATGCATGCCCATCGAGGTTGGCTGCAGAGGTTTTGTGGGGCGTTCTCTCCACAAAGCCTTTACCACGTTGGGCATCGCAGGAATAGCAAGGAGCAGGGCCATCAAGAACACCACCGACGCAGCCGAGAAAGCTTCAAGATGGCTCTGGATCCGTAGAGAAGCACCATGGGTAGCGAGTGCTACCTGAACACAAGTCGCAGTCTGATCAGCCGTGGCTGGGTCGCCTGGGCGAGGGTGTCTGATGTTGAAAGACCCGAAACGCCCGAGGACCCCAGGTTACATCACTGATGATGCATCGGAAGATGTTTTAAGAACTACGACCACTTCGTCAGCCGGATACCTCCCTTTGCCAACATACACATTGTTTTAGCAGCTTCTTAACCAAATTCAACCTTGAAATCTGTTGCGCATTTTTGCAGCGCAAAACTTGCAACATTAGGTGATGAAGTTGCACGAAAAATGTGGACCACCATTTTATATTCAGCAAGCTCTTCCTGATAGTTCCCACCAGGCCACCATAGGAACCTCAAGAGATCTGTGTCTTCGTCCCAAACCTTGACCTGGTGGAACATAGCTTCGACATCTGCCATCATAGCCACAACTTCTTGTCGGAACCTCATGAGGACCACCACCAATGAACTCGTTAAATCAGGACCTTGCAAGAGTTGATTGATTGATTTAATGATGTTCCTTGGTAGCTCGCCGTGCTATCAAGAACCACATGTAGCTTCTGCTTGACGGGATGTTCGACCCCGTGGTGAGGCAGGCACCACGTCCTTCCATTCGGTGGCGCGAGCTGGCTCTTGTCAAGCTTCACCGTATAACTCTTTTGTAGAATGTCATCCATGAATGCAGCGTACTCCGTCCAAAACCTGACATCTCTCATGAACCTTTTCTGTAAATTCAGTGCACGTTGTTCAGGGACAGATCTATTATTTGGCAGACTCAGTGATTTGTTTTTTACCAGAAGGCAAATACTGTAATGACCATCAGAAAGTCTTAATGATTGAGACACCATAGCCATGAACAAGTGGTCATCCTTAGACATTTCGAATTCTTCGACTTGTTCTGCATCAGGGAAATCTTGCTTAAACTGCAGCTGGCAGAGGTCTTCTAGCTTTGCTACAGAAATTCAATTTGCTGCTACTTCAGTTTGCTTCCTTATTGCTGTGATACATCCACCTCGGAGCGGACCGTTCACCGTCAAGCCCAAAAATGTTTTAACAGCATATGGCCCATTACCTATGCTGCTGACAGCTTGAAGTGGTTCCACAGCCTTGGGTATGAGCAATTCAATCTTACACTCAATGGTGGGAAGATGCACTTCCTTCAGGTGAGGCCAGTCATCAATATCCCTTTGACATGGAATATTATCTTCAGTAACTGGAATTTCTTTCTGTGAGTACACCTCCGGAAGCTCAATAAACTGACTGCCGTTCAGACTACTGATTTCCAGCCCAGTAACTACTCGGGTGCGGACCACTGATTCCCTTCCCATTGTTCTTAACAGAATGTTGTGCTCCATCCACTCACATTCAGTTCATTGATCAGTGACTTCATACAAAAAGTAGCGGTGCTACCGGGATCTAAAAACGCATATGTAACTACTGCCTTTGTTCCCTTCTGTGCCTTGATGCATACTGGAACAATCGAAAGCGCACAATCTTCCTTACCAGCCCCAGTGACACCAAAACTTAACGTTTGTGTGAAAGCACTTGAGACTGATTGCGCTTCACAACTTTCCTTTGTCATTGTCTCGTCCGTATCTTGTGTTGAGCTGCCCTTGAGTTTTATGTGGAGTAGCGTGGGATGTGACCGAAAACATTCTTGACATTGCACTGTCTCTTTGCAGCTGCTGCTCATGTGTCCATGTTTTAAACATCCAAAACATAAACCTTTAATTCTCAAGAAATCAATCTTTTTTGATTGATCTTTGTGTAGCCATGTTAATGTGTAGCTATTGGTTTTATGAACTCCTTCAGTCCTTTGTTTTTTTTAATGTAATTATTATTTATGACGTGTTATTTGTGACTGTTTGTACTTAAAATTGCATTTCGTTGGTTTGGTTTGTACTTTTTGGTTCCGCCACAAAGGTTCCTACTTGAGTGTTGTAGGTGTGGCAGCAGTCAGCGTCGCAATTTTTTTTTGCGCCAATTCCTGTCAGAATCCACTTGGATTTGGCACTGGTAAGACATGTAATTCAGCTCTCCGCCAACTTTAACCTAAAGAATTAATAATTTGTAAATTCTGTTGTTTAAATTATTAGAATAAAATTTCCTTTAGCAATATTGATTATATCCCCCCACGTTATAATTTATTAATATATCGATA